CAACCTAGAGCTAAGGAGAAACCTCCTGACAGTTAGAACAATTAACCTGTGGAACAACTTGCCTCCAGAAGTTGTGGGTGCGCCATCACTGGAGGTTTTTAAGAAGGATTGGTCAACCATTTGTCTGAACTGGCACAGGGTTTTCTGCTTGAGACTAGAAGACCTCCAAGGTCCCTTCCAATCCTGTTATTCTTTTCTGTTATTCTGTTAGATTAAGTATCTTGTACAACTGCCATGCTGGGGGAGTTTACTTATGTCTTAACCGCAAGAAATTCTAATTGATGGCCACAAGATTAGGTGTCTGGAGGCTAAATCCTACGATGAATATGTAAGAGAAGTAGGCATCTTTAGCCTAATGAAGAAAAAGCTCAGTGGAGACACGATAGCTATCTATCAGTACTTGGGGGGTATTACAAAAAAGAGGGGGGTCAATTTATTCTCCATACCATTTAAAGACAGGACAAGAAGCAATTGGTGGAAATTAATCAAGGAGAGAAGCAACCTGGAACTAAGGAGAAATTTCCTGACAGTTAGAACAATTAACCAGTGGAACAACTTGCCTCCAAAAGTTGTGAGCGCTTCAACACACGTTTTCCAAGAGACTGGACAACCAATTGTTGGGAATAATATAGGGTTTCCTGCTTGAGCAGAAGGTTGGACTAGAAGATCTCTAAGGTCCCTTCCAACTCTGTTATGGTTGTCCCAAAGGTGCTTTTTCCAAAAGGCAAATAGACGTCCTTGGATTGTTTTTCCTTGAAAGGGTTTCACTTCTCTTCCAAGAAGCTTTTTCAGTTCTCAAGGGTTCCTCATTCCCACGCCATGCTTGGTTGGAGATGGCCCACCTCCCCTTGGAGGACAGCTTGAGGGCACAGTACACTTTTCCCAGGAGTACTTAAATGGTTTAAAAGAACTGGTGCTGGAAAACCAGTAGGGTTCAGCCTTGACACCCAAATGTTTACAGATAGAATGTTTGAAGTTCAGGGTTGATGTGGGGTCCTTGATGCTCTCTGAACTTGGAGGTTTTCTTGCAGACATTTCATGACCCATCTAGGTAACATCATCAGTGCTAGAAGGCAGTGGGATTTGCTATTTTTTATATATACTAATTATATATTGGTGGTTTCCGTTGTTTGGACTGGTAAGTCCCTTGATTGGGGTATGAATTGTATCACTTGCTTACAATCAAGCAAACAACAAGGAACTACCAACAGAAACTAGTAGTAAACAACAGTCTTAACCAACATTTTTGGGAGGGAGTTTATATTTTAAATGTTTGGAATAAAAATAATCAGACACAGGATTTTCCAATTATAAGCTGAATCTCAACCAAATTTTCATGATGCTACTTCAGTCTCAATGATGAAGCATTTAAATGTAAAAGGTAAAGCTTTCCCTCGCACATATGTGCTAGTCCTTCCCAACTCTAGAGGGTGGTGCTCATCTCCGTTTCAAAGCCAAAGAGCCAGCGCTGTCTGAAGATGTCTCAGTGGTCATGTGGCTGGCATGACTAAATGCCGAAGGCGCACGGAACACTGTTACCTTCCCACCAAAGGTGGTCCCTGTTTTTCTACTTGCATTTTTACATGCTTTCGAACTGCTAGGTTGGCCGAAGCTGGGGGAGCTCACTCCCTTACACGGTGCTAGGGATTTGAACCACTGAACTGCCAACCTTTCTGATTGACAAGAGCAGCATCTTAGCCCCTGAGCCACCACGTTCCTTATATAAACATACTTATATTTTAATGGTTGATATTACTCCATTTTCTTTTTGAATTTAAATATTTCATTCTTGCATTTTCTTATACGTTCCCCAGGCAAGGTTTTCTTTAAAGTAATATAATGGCTACAGAATAAAATCCTAAGTAAGTCGATCTCTGTAACATAAGCTAAAAATCAGGTTAGATCAGTTCATAAAAAATGCTGTTCCATAGCAATGCTACCATTTTAGGAAGAAGAAAAAGAGAGACCAGGAAAATTGTCATAATGTTTATAGGAAGGGCTTGATTAAAGAATTCATAGAATAGTGATAGACCTTAACAGAATAAGAGAGTTGGAAGAGACCTTGGAGGTCTTCTAGTCCAACCCCCTACTCANAAGGTGGTTCCTATTTTTCTACTTGCATTTTTACGTGCTTTCGAACTGCTAGGTTGGCAGAAGCTGGGACAAGTAACGGGAGCTCACTCTGTTACACGGCGCTAGGGATCCAAACCGCTGAACTGCCGACCTTTCCGATTGACAAGCTCAGCGTCTTAGCCACTGAGCCACCGCTGTTTAAAATAAGATAATCATTATTGTCATTTTGTTCTGTGAACACACTACTGAGATTCTGACGCCCGCTCTCAAAAGAAAAATAAATGGATAACCATAAAAATAAATATGTAGCCCTAATAACAAATATAAAAACCATAAACATAAAGATATAACCATATATTTATTGGAGGCATCCCTTTATTTATTTTTATGTGTAACACAAGGCAGTAAACGTAGCCAACCTACTTTCCTTCTCCTACTTTTCTCCACAATCACCACCCTGTGAGCTGAGTGAATGACGGGTCCAAAGTCAGCCAGTTGAAGGCAGGACCAGAAGCAATGGATGGAAACTAATCAAGGAGAGAAGCCACGGTGGAACTAGAACTCACGGTCTCCCGCTTTCTAAGCTATTCACCTAACCACTAAACTGGTTCTCCAACTGGTTCGCCGCTTTCCCTACCATCTCTTATACGTTTGAAACATTGAAAGCTATTAGTGGCCTGCTTCAAAAATAAGTCACAAAATTTAGTTAGTCTTTCTCTCTCTCTGTCTCCTCCCCGCCCTACTATTTGATTAAGGAGCTTGACACACAGAGATTTAACTTTGGATCAATTTGGGGTCCAAAGTCTATTAAAAGCTTCTTTCCTGGTTGCATTAAATCCATAGTAACAGTTTAACTTAGTGACATGTGTATTTATTTCGTACTGTTTTAATTTTTTTTCTGTCTTATTGTATGTACTGCCATATGTAGATGTAGAAATCATACATACATACATACATACATGCATACATACATACATATGGTAAAGGTTCCCCTCGCACATCTGTGCTAGTCATTCCTGACTCTAGGGGGTGGTGCTCATCTCCGTTTCAAAGCCGAAGAGCCAGCGCTGTCTGAAGACGTCTCCATACTCATGTGGCCAGCATGACTAAACATCGAAGGTGTAAGGAATGCTGTTACCTTCCCACCAAAGGTGGTTCCTATTTTTCTACTTGCTTTTTTTACATGCTTTCGAACTGCTAGGTTGGCAGAAGCTNCAAAAATGGTGTTGGGTCTCCTGCTTGAGTGGGGTATGGGGGGTGGTGGGTGTTGGACTAGATGACCTCCAAGGTCCCTTCCCACTCTGTTAATCGGTTCTAGGAAGAGATGCCACTTTACCTGGTTGCGCTTCAGCTCTTTGGCTACTTTGGCATTGTGGTCACACAGCTCGGCCAGCGGCCGCCCCGTCAGCAGGTACTGCTTGGCAGTCCGCACAAACCAATCCATGCTGCTGGCGTCACAGCCCGCGTCAGCCTCGAAGACGCTGAGGGCGCTGGAGGAGGAGATGAACTCGAACTGCTCGGCGGGGTCCAGCTTCCGCTTGAAGAAAATGGGATGGCGGCGGTCGCCGAGGTAGGGCTTCCGATTCGAGTCAGCGGAGATGAGGCTCTCCTTGGCCGCGAAAGCCAGGTCTCCGAAGAGGCTGTAGCAAAGGCCCTCCGGGTTGGCCCGCTCGATGGGCTGGCTTGCGTCCTTGAAGATGTGCTGGTAAAGAGTGCTGTCCTTGGATCCCGAGAGGAGGAAGTAAGGGTCGTGCAGATGCCGCCAGACGATCCCGGTGGTGACGTCTTTGTGCTCCTCGAACATGGCGGACGGGATGAAGGGGCGCCGGATGTCCCAGACGTAGATGTTGTGGTCCACCATCATCGAGCAGGTGGCGATGTGGTGCTTGCATTCGGGCCTCCACTTGACCCGGGCTACGGAGGCTATCGTTTGCACACAGTAGATCTCTTTGGCCCGGTTGGTGCTCATGTCCCAGACTTTGACCATCTTATCTCGGCCGCCCGTGGCCAGCCAGCCTCTAGCAGAAGGGAAACGCCAAGAATGGATGAGACTGATTAAAAAAACGGTTCGATAGACATTGCGTGCAACTAAAAAGGTGTTGGATGGTTGAACAGGTGCCCCCTTTGAACCGTTACGTTTTTGGTGGCCATCACCTCCGCCAGGCGGATATCTGAGCTACAGGCATTGTCTACCAGTGATGATTTATATATATATTTCACCATGACAGGGTGATTTTAAGGCTGGAGCCCTCCTTCATACCCAAGGTGTGCTCTTACTTCCATGGATCTCAGGAGTTGATTTTGCCTAATTTTTGTCTGGATCCTTCTCATCCGTTAGAGAAAAAATGGCACACCTTGGACGTGATGAGGGCTCTGAGGATTTATCTCAAAAGAACTTTGTCGACTAGAAAGACTGAAGTATTATTTGTTTCTTTCCAGCCGGGATCCCTGGGGAATAAGGTGACATCTACTACCGTAGGCAGATGGCTGTGAGCCTGTATTGCTTACCGCTTACCAAGCACAAGGGCCCCAGGATATACAATATGGAGTACAGGAAAAGTAAAAATGCTCCTTTTGAGGATCACCCTCACTACTTAAAGCAGTTGAAAGCACAATATAAGACCCTTCTAAAAGAATAGAAAAGTACGGCTCTGAAGGAGTCTTGGCATAAACTACCGTATTTTCCAGAGTATAAGACGCACCAAGGTTTTGAAGAGGCAAATTAAAAAAAAAAGTTTTTGCACTCTGCAAACCTCTCCAAAACGGGCCCATTTTGCCCCCCCCCCCAAATGGCACGAATAGCCTTTAGGGGGCTTGCAGAGTGCCCGGGGGGGGGGGGGGGAGACCAGAAATGAGCAAAAAATGGCCCGTTTTTCATGAAAACGGGTCAGTTTTTTGTAAAAAAAAGAAAAAAGGCATGGATAGCGTCTAGGAAGCTTATAGAGTGCTTCTGGAGGCTGGAGGGGGGGAAATTGAGCAAAAAACGGGCTGTTTTCTGCTCATTTCTGCCCTTCCCAGCCCCCAGCTCTCTAAAAGCTTTCTAGAGGCTATGCATGGCCATTTTGGTGAACGGGGTGGGGTTTTGGGAGGCAAAAAACAGCTGTATTCAGTCTATAAGACACACCAAGATTTTCAACCTCTTTTTTGAGGGATAGGGTGCGTCTTATACTCTGAAAAATATGGTAATTACATCAGTCAGGACAAAAAATACATCCCTTTTTGGTACATCACCAGAGGATTGGGGAAACCTCCACTACCCCCAACTAATCAGGTACCGATTCATACCTGGGAAGAATATTTTAGGGAGCTTTATACAGACCCCGACTATGTAACCAAGAAGAGCCAAATTAGTTTGAACCAGACTCCTTACTGGCCCCCTGTTACAGCAGAAGAGATATCCCGGTTGGTGGGACCTCTAAAGGCTAATAAGGCAACTGGTGCTGATAATATCCTGCCAGAAATAATCAAAAAGAACGCCAGTTGGTGGGCTCCACTTTTAGCATCACTGTTTACATTCATAGATAAAACAGGCCATAGAGATTGGGGAGTAGTAGAGATTGCCTAGAGATTGGGGAGTAGCAATTATCATACCAATTTATAAAAATGGTGCATCAGTCTTCTGAGCATTATTAGTAAACTGTATGCCAAACANTTCTATCCTCTTATATAATGTTATATTATGCAGATTACTAACCAATAAACCCCTCCCCCCCTATTTATTTATAGGGGGGAAATGTCCGTACCAAACATAATTTCTAATGTTAGATTTTCCCCATTACCAGAGGGAGCCCCCTTGTGGAGTACTGTGAATCTGCTATCATGCCAACTCCATTGCGCTGTACAGTAGAAGCCATTTTAAGGCACAACAGGCTGCATCTTAACAGAACACACATCCTGAGGGGTTTTAGATGTGTCTTATCCCCACAGTATTTGTTTCCAGAGAGTAAGTCATCTGTGTACCAAGTTTGGTTGCTCAAGGTGTTCCAGAGTTATACTGGAACACACACATACATACACACACAAACAGCAGTTTTTATATAGATAAGACTAATTGGTTTCACACTGTCATCTTTTGTTTGTCTCCTAGCCGCTCTGCTCTTTGTAGTTCTCACCAAGCACTGGATAATGAACAAAACGGAATGAATGTTTTGACGTTCAATGGAGAGAAAGGGATTAGAAGAGAGTAAGCAGGCACACAACAGAGAACACACATCGGAAGCAATGCACTGGGCACCCAGCAGCCATGAACATGCTTGATATAAACCGCCTTGTATCCCTCACGGTGTGCCTGCTTACTCTCTTGCAATCCCTTCTTCTCTAATCTCTCCGCTCTGCAAAGGGAGAAAAATAAAAACAACAGATCAGGCATGAAGAGTAAGACGGGCACTCACTGTGAGGATTCTCATGGTCCATCATGTACAGATCATCTTCATCGGCTTCCACATCGCCCAGGAGATAATCGGCAGGAACGTCACTTCCTTCTGTCTCCTCGTTCTCTGGACATCCAGGAAAAAAAGAGAAAAAGACACAAGAAGAGTCATAGAGTTGGATGATGAAGCTGTTTTGGCCAGAGTTCAGCTTCCTGTTCATTGCAGGAGTTTAGATTAAGGCACCTCTGATCAGTCTAGGTCCAGGGTCAGTCTAGGCCAGGGGTCAGCAACCGCATGTGGCTCTTTCATCCCTCTACTGCGGCTGTCGCTCAAACTATGCGTCACAACCGCCAATGTGTGATACCTGCGGGCATGTGATTGATTGAGCTTTTCAACCACCAGTAGGCCAACCGTGGATAACTCCAAGAAAATAAGAGTTTCAGAAGAAAACAGAACGTTTAATTCAACTCTATTAGGTTAGTTCTGTGGCTGCTCAGGAAATAGTCAGGCACGGGAAGCGTTTTGTGGCTCCCGGTGTTTTCTCTTCTGTGGGAAGCGGGTCCAAATGGTGCTTTGAGTGTTTAAGGTTGCCGACCCCTGGTCTAGGCACCACATGAACAAAAGCAACGAAGAGAAGTTCACTCCTTTCTCCAAGGTTTACTATTGCACCGCTTGGCTACTTAAGAGATTCAATCAGAATCTGCCTTTATCTAGCATGGATCTATTGTTCCAAGTCCTAAACACGAAAAGGAGATTGTACTTTCTTTTAGGAAATTCCTCTTTGGGTATTGAATGAATGGTGTCAGGCAGACAGTTGAGCAGCATTATGTTGGTGATTGTTTGAAGTTATAGTGCCACCTGGCTCTTGCCCATGCAACCATCTCAGCATCCCTGTGTCACGTGATGAAAATTCAGGTGCTTGGCAACCAGTATGTACCGTATTTTTTGGAGTATAAGGCACACCAAGGTTTGGTGTGCCTTATACTCCAAAAAATACGGGCCCGTTTTTTTTAAAAAAGGGGGGGGCATGAATAGCCTTTAGGAGGCTTGTCGAGTGCTCCTAGGGGGTGGGCTGGCGCAAAAATGAGCAAAAAACGGCCCATTGTTTGCTCATTTCTGCCCTCCCCAGCTCCCAGGAGCTCTCTGGAAGCCTCCAGAAGGCTCTGCACGGCCATTTTGGTGAAGGGGGCGGGGTTTTCGAGAGGCAAAAAAAATCTGTATCCAGTGTCTAAGACGCACCCAGATTTTCAGCCTCTTTTTTGAGGGGAAAAGGTGCATCTTATACTCTGAAAAAAGAGAATTATAATAGTTGCAGCATCCTGGGACTGTTTGACGGCCGTTGGTGATCTTCCCAGCCAGTTTCCAACATGCAAAGTCAACGGGGAAAGCTGGATTTGCTTAATGATCATACGAGTCACTTAATAAATGCAGCGGTTCACTCAACAACTGGCTCACTTAGCTACCGCCTTACTTGGCATCAGAAATTCTGGTCCCAATTGTGGACTTCAGTCAAGGATTGTCAGTATTCTGCTTCCACGGCCATCTTTTGCCTGGACTGAATATAGCCACTTCCCTTGCAAATGTAAAGGTAAAAGCTCCCCTCGCACATACGTGCTAGTCGTTCCCAACTCTAGGGGGCAGTGCTCATCTCCGTTTCAAAGCCAAAGAGCCAGCACTGTCCGAAGACATCTCTGTGGTCATGTGGCCGGCATGACTAAATACTGAAGGCGCACGGAACATTGTTAACCTTCCCACCAAAGGTGGTTCCCATTTTTCTACTCGCATTTTTTACATCCTTTCAAACTAGGTTGGCAGAAGGTAGGACAAGTAACAGGAGCTCACTCTGTTATGCGGCGCTAGGGATTCAAACCGCCAAACTGCGACCTTTCTGATGGACAAGCTCAGCGTCTTAGCCCCTGAGCCACCGCTTCCCTATTTTCCTGGTACAGCTGTCTGCTCACCGTCGTTATTGATGAGAGTTGAAGTGGAATCCATGAGAATGGCTTCAGGACGATTCTCCCCCTTGGTCCTCTCCAGCCGTGACTCCGTCCCTATTCCAGAGGGAATATCTTTCAAGTTAAAGCTGGGAGAAAAGCAGAAAATGCTGAATAGTCCACAGTAATATTTTCTATCCCTTCTCTATGTCTGCAATGCTTTCAATTTTGGCTAAGTGCGATTGTTTTTAATTCTGAATTTGTCACCAGCTGAGCTATCTGTCAGGCCTGCAGCCATATTTTCTTTTGGATCTCAGGCCTGCCACACTTTCTATTATTCTACTATGCATTTTCTATTGTGGGGAAAATGGGCGGGGAGATTGTATGGAGTTAGATGCAATGTAGCCATAACAACATNAGCTGGCAGGAATAGCCAACAGCTCAGATGATAGGCTCAAGATCCAGATGGATCTTGACAGATTTGAACACTGGGCTCTATCTAACCAAATGAAATTCAACGTAAAGAAAAGAAATGAAGAAATAAGAGTGGTTAAGAGGGTAGCACTGCAGGCTACTTCAGCTGATTGCTAGCTGCAGTTCAGCAGTTTGAATCTCACCAGGCTCAAGGTTGACTCAGCCTTCCATCCTTCCAAGGTGGGTAAAATGAGGACCCAGATTGTTGGGGGCAAAAGGCTGACTCTGCAAACTGCTTAG